TTTAAGAATACGAGAAAAGACATAATTAAAACAACATATTAAATTTACCTTGTCTATCGTATTTAATGTAACACATTTGCAAGAAGGTTTGTTTCCAAAATATATATTATATCAATATACTAGAAATGCGGATGAAAACATCACTATTTTCTTATTTGAATTTCTGATTAATAATAATTATTCAATTAATGACTGAATAAACTCATGGACTGACCAATGACAAACTGCTCTCATTTACCCACCATAGAGAACCCTCCATGCCTTCCATCAGGATGGCTGATGCCTAACTCAACGAGAGCGCCAAACTGCGTGTGCTTGGTCTCACGCTCTCCACCGACCTGAAGTGGAACAACTACATTGAATCTATAGCTCCATCTACCGCTAGGAAATTTGGTTCTCTGTGTCGCGCCAGGAGGTTTTTCTGGCCTGAGTCCATCTTTTACATCTACAAAGCAACCATTTGTAATTGCATGCAATACTGATGCATTATAAGGTCTGGTACTCCCGCTGTTCATCTCGAGGTCCTAGACAAAATCCAGAAACGGATATGCAACGTGGTTGGTCCTGATCTGGCATCCCGTCTACAGTCGCTATCTCACAGACATGCTGTGGCTTCCCTCTTTTCTACAAATACTTTCATGGCAACTACTCCGACGAGCTACTTCCACTGGTTCTCAAATTGCATGAATTTAAGCGTTCTACTAGGTTGGCATCTCAGTCCCACCCTTTCACTATCGAAATGACTAAATGTAGCTATCTCTTCTACTCCAACAGCTTCTTATCTCGCACCTCCCGTCAGTGGAACTCCCTTCCTAGCACTTGCTTCCCTGATAGCTATAATCTTCAAAAATTCAAATGTAATGTCAATCGACATCTTCTGATGCCTTGAACTTGATCTCTTTCATTATCTTTATACATTTTCTAAACACTGCTCTTTAGTCTTTACTCTCACTGTCTGTAATCCTTTGCGTGCTAGTGCCACTCCCAACATGCTTGGAGCGATTTGCTTACAAAAAATAAAATAAAATTAAGAAATTCCCCTATGACATCGTTAACACTTTAACAAAATATTGCAATAAAAATCAGAAATATGAATGTTGGTTGTTATTTTAAGAAGTAAGGGGGTACAAATTAAAAGATTTAAAGTTGATCATTTTTTTCCATTTCACTGAAAGAGCCTTTAAAAATATTCCCTTCTTTCTTTTTCTTTCTTTCTTTCTTTTTTTCTTTCTTTATTTATTTATTTATTTCATTCGAATGTCTTGTATGCTATGCAACTAAAACGAAATAGTCCATTATTTATGAGGTATTGGTATAAGACTTTGAACACTTTTTTATCTTCCCTTCTTTATTTCTTTCTTTCTCGTCAAATCCCCATCTTGCGAACATTTCTGTTAATAATAATTTTAAAATAATTCAGCAGCCGATATTAGATTCTTTATGATAACTATTTTTTCGCCTGACTCGATTGCTATCGTTCGATACTCTGTATCCGAAAAAAAAATGCCACTTTTTATTGCAGTCGCCATATCTTCTCGGCCTTTTGGCTCGGGAAGGTTCAAATAATATTAATCCCAAGCTCCATGAAAGCCATCACCCAATGCAGTACCTCTCCTTCGGGAGGAGGCAAGGATTATTGACCGGCGCCTAAGGCGTGTCCAAAAAGGGAAGTGACGAGTGGGATTGGACAATTTTTCCATGATATTGCCGTTAAAATCACACGTTAAACCTGGATCTTCTCTCACATTCGGTAGCGACGTGAGCTCACTGAAAAATCAACGTTTCTCGGCCTTTTGGCTAAGATTCGATCACGGCTACGACTAGCTTGGACTGGCTCGGGTCTGGAGCAGCTAGGACAAGCCAAGACAGGGTATGACTAGCTTAGACCAGCTCTGACCAGCTTGGACAAGCTATGAACAGCTAAGACCAGCAGCCCGAGTGAAAACACTCGGGTCTCCACGTTAAAAACCGACGTTGTGTCACAACCTGACTCAGTGTGTGTGTGGTGGGGGTTCAAGTAAATAAACGGCCCATTGGCTGAGATGAAAGTGTAGTATCTGTTCTTAACAGCTTAATATGATTCCATCTCTCCACTTCTAACTTTCATTTTTTTTTTTCTCGCTAAAAGGAAGTAATGTTTTTTTGCCTTTATCTACGTGATCAAAACCCGGAATTGTCTACTATTTATTTGGTATTAACATTGAAAAATGGTCGTGCAAACTAACGAAGCGGGGTGGATAAGCGCAATTATAATAGGATCTGAGTGTGTGTGTGTTTATATAGATAATAATAATAAATAAATAAATAAATAAAGTTAAATGCAATAAAATTAAATAATTACAATCACGGTTACAATTTGGTGGGGGAAAGTAAAATTTTATAATCAATTCCAATTTGGGAGGCAAGCAAAATGTCAAAAACAATTCCAATTTGGGAGATAACCAAAATTTTAAAACCAGTTCTAATTTGGCGGAGGGCAACTAAAACCTTACAATCATATCCAAATTGCGGAGGCGGGGATTTTATAATCAAACCTAATTTCGAATATAACAAAATTTTTATAATCAATTCCAATTTCTCGTGGGTACCAAAATTTTATAATCAATTCCAATTTGGGGTGTAAACAAAATTTTATAATTAATTAAATTTTTGGAGGTAACCAAAATTTAATAATCAATTCCAAATTAGGGGGTAACCAAAATTTTATAACCAGATAGAGGGTGCCAAAATATTTATAATGAATTCCTGTTTAGGGATTAACTAAAATTTTATAATCAATTCCAATTTTTTTATAGGGGCAACCAAATTTTATGAATAATTCCAATTTGGGGCAAAACCAAATTATTACAATCAATTCCAATTTGGGGGAACAAAATTTTTATAATCAATTCCAATTTGGGTTGAAAACAGAATTTTATATTCAAATCCAATTTCGAGAGCAACCAAAATCTTATAATTAATTCCAATTTAGAGCATAACCAACATTTTATAATCAATTCCAGTTTTTTTTGTTTTTTTTTTTGTAGGGGCAAACAAAATTTTATAAATATTTCCAATTTAGAGGGCGGGGACAAAAATTCAAAATCAATTCCAATTTGAATGTTAAGCAAAATTTTGTAATCAATTCCAATTTATGGGGAAACCAAAATGTTATGATCAATTCCAATTCGAGGCGTAACCAAAATTTTATAATCATTTTCAACTTGAGGGCAAGCCAAAATTTTATAATCATTTCCAATTTGGTGGTGGGGAAGATAAAAAATTTATAATTAATTCCAATTTAGTAGGTAACTATCATTTTATACTCAATTCCAATTGGCGTGCGGGGTAACGAAAATTTTATAATCATCTTCAATTTGTTGTGCTACCCAAAATTTTAGAAACAATTTCAATTCGGGGCTGGGGTGGGTAACCAAAACTATAAAGTTTTGTAAATTTCATTCGTTGCCGCCATTGATGATACGACATAAATACAAGCCAGAACTTTTTCATCTCTGAAGTACAAGTGAATTTCGTAGACTCAGAACTTAAAAGTAACTAGTATTTGTCAATTTGATCTTCGGCTATCATAAGGCCACATAATATGAGCTCGGAAATATTAATGGAACCCCTATAATTTTATTGCTGTGATATTTAATAATAACACGTATCTAAAAGTCTCTCATATTCAACATCTGAAACGTTTTCGGTGTTGAGCTGGCATCTCGACCTAAGTCACTTTTCCACACTTACAACCAAGATTCAACTGTTCCAATAAAAATGTTCTCCACTCGGCGACCAACAAGTCATGAGCGAGGTCAATTGCAAAACTGATTTCACTGGTGGTTACTGAGGATAAATCACTTCTGATATAATCTGGTTGAGATACATATAACCCTAATAACATAATGTGCGAGACGAGATTACCAATTGTTTCGAGAAGGTAGGCAAACCCGAGAATTAAGTATATTTGTTCAAAATGTAACAGAGCATCCCTGTGCCCTGTCTATAAATATTTCCTTGGTAATTGTTTTGATGAACTTCACTCTTTGTTACCTCGACTTTACGAATTTAAGCACATTACTAGATTAGCAGATAGGTCTCTTTATTGTATATTTGAAATTGATAAAATATAACTAAGTTTTATGCTAACAGTTTCTTCTCTCGCACTTCACGCTTGTGGAACTGTTACAAGCTTTTTGATTTCCAGTCGAATTTGATCTTCAAAAATGTAGATGCAATATTAATCGTTATTTTTCTGTCTTAGCAATTCCAATACTTTTATTGTTTTCTCTCATTAATATTTGTTTGTTTGTTTTTTTTTGTTTTTTGTTTTTCATATTTTTTCACAATGAGTAACCCCTTGCGTCTAAATGGCTTTATTTATAAGAAGGAGTAAAAAAAAAAAGAAATTACTTAAAGCCAGTATTCAAAAGTGGCCCTGAGTACCGTATTATCACATTTATTTCCGCGATATATGTTTTCTTGTTGTTTCACTGAACATTTATATATTTATTTTTGACAGGGGATTCTTTCGGACGCTTGCATTCACATTTCAGCTGTTGTAATCTAGAGTGCCTCTCTCTACTTGGCGGTCAGGATGTCTTGTATCAGGTGAACCGCGCAAATGGATTCTCTGATGCTTAGTGAGGCCAATGTTTTATCTGGTGTGATCAGGGTTGAGACAAATATTACAATAATGAAATAATGGGAAAGACGAACTTATCACCCGTTACTTTAAGGTAGGTAACCCCGAGAGAGAAATATATTTGTCCAAATACCATTCTTCCAGTGGTTTAGCGAACCTTTTTTTTTAGTTTGAGTACTTTAAGACTTCTGGAAGAGGTAAAAATAAAACAAGGGTTTATTGATCAAAAGCCGAAAATCTGTAGGTTGCAAAATCTGTCTTTCAAAACCGTTTGAATCATTGATGTGATCAATTGGCTCTTCCGCATTTTGTGGGATGTCATCTTCATCAGAAAATGATCCTGTCGTCATTCGAATTGGTATCTCATAGTTGGATGCCTGATGTTTTAAAAACAAACCAACCAATCTATCTATCTATCTATCTATCTATCTATCTATCTATCTATCTATCTATCTATCTATTAATGTTACTCTTTTCATATCTATCTATCTATCTATCTATCTATCTATCTATCTATCAACATTACTCTTTTCATATCTATCTATCTATCTATCTATCTATCTATCTATTAACGTTACTCTTTTCATATCTATCTATCGATCCTTTAATGTTACTTTTTTCCTATCTATCTATCTATCCATCTATCTATCTATCTATCTATCTATCTATTAATGTTACTTTTTTCCTATCTATCTATCTATCTATCTATCTCAGTTTTGTTTATATCTATCGGTATATATCTGTATCTATCTGTCTATTTATTAATGTTACTCTTTACATATCTATCTATCTATCTATCTATCTATCAACATTACGCTTTTCATATCTATCTATCTATCTATCTATCTATTAACGTTACTCGTTTCATATCTATCTATCTATCTATCTATCTATCTATCTATTAACGTTACTCTTTTCATATCTATCTATCTATCTATCTATTAACGTTACTCTTTTCATATCTATCTATCTATCTATCTATCTATCTATCTCAGTTTTGTTTATATCTATCTGTATATATCTGTATCTATCTGTCTATTTATTAATGTTACTCTTTACATATCTATCTATCTATCTATCAACATTACTCTTTTCATATCTATCTATCTATCTATCTATCTATTAACGTTACTCGTTTCATATCTATCTATCTATCTATCTATCTATCTATCTATTAACGTTACTCTTTTCATATCTATCTATCTGTCTATTTATTAATGTTACTCTTTTCATATCTATCTATCTATCTATCTATCTCAGTTTTGTTTATATCTATCTGTATATATCTGCATCTATCTGTCTATTTATTAATGTTACTCTTTTTATCTATCTATCTATCTATCTATCTATCTATCTATCTATCTATCTATCTATCTCAGTTTTGTTTATATCTATCTGAATATATCTGTATCTATCTGTCTATTTATTAATGTTACTCTTTCCATATCTATCTATCTATCTATCTATCTATCTATCTATCTATCTATCTCAGTTTTGTTTATATCAATCTGTATATATCTGTATCTATCTGTCTATTTATTAATGTTACTCTTTTCATATATATCTATATATCTATCTCACCTGTCTTTCTCTCATAGCTGGTAAAAAGAAGCGGTGGATTCATAATATTTGTACGTAAGTAAATATAACGGACCCGACTGGAATTGAAACTCTACTTTCCAATTTCTAATTTCAAGCCATTACTCATTGCACCAACCGCACATCCAAGCTTACAGCACCTTGATATTCCCAAGCAGTCGACTATCAGGTTACTGACCAAGCTGGACGTTGAGTAGCTTCGGTGATCGCACGAGAAGCTGTGTTTAGACGTGATATTCCAGTGAACACGAAATTTTTCATGACATATAAACCGCATAAGCTAGCCTTACTTTTTCGTCGGAAGGTAACACACGAGACACGCTGTCGATGTGAGACGCCATATTGTTTTTTAGCGACTTTATATTTATTATTATCAAAATTCAGGAAACATATAACGAATAACAATAGCATCGAACACGAGAGCTAAACGCCTAAGGTTTATTAGGTTCTAGAAGAGAAGCAAACATATAATATGAGAAAGAAAAACACAAGCTAAACGATCTTCGTTGTGCGGCAATGGAAGAGAAATCAGCAGGAAACAAATCATAATTAAAAATATTCATTTAAAGAGGTTAATTAAATCAAATAAAAGCATCAAATATCCGCAAAATTTATTCAATTTAATTTCTATTTTTTTACAACCTAGCAATTTTCAAGCATGAATAACCTACATTTTTTTTTTGTTTTTGTTTTAATTGTTTTTTTTTTCTCTTTTTCTTTTCATAAGATTGCATGGAATATTTTCCTTATCTGATAGTGATATCTGGAATAGCAATTTCAGTGCTTGTACGTTGTCTGTAATTCAACAGTATTTGATTGGCCTCCGTTCGTTTTTGTCTCATTTTCTGTAATTATTGATTCTGATCAAGTCTTACCTGGAGGAAGGAACATCAAAGGTTGAAATTTAATAACATTTATATCAAATCTTCTTCAATCAAAGTTGTCGTGCTGTTACGCTCCGTCATATATCGTTTGAGCAGAAAGTAGAAGACAGTGTACAAGAAAGGAAGATAGGTGCAAATAGTTCTAGTTAAAATGTAGGCAAGCGGATGAATGGAACATATATATATATATATATATATATGAACTCTCATGCAGCAATGGAATCATATTTTTAAATAAATAATTATATATATATATATATATATATATATATATATATATATATATATTTTAACATACAACGTGTGTTAGCACGTGCGATACCCTGTCTTCATCAGCCGCCGACCAGGGGTGATATCACGGTTTCGGTGGCTATGGCGGATCCGCCATCCCAGGCACCACCAGCAGCGTTTGCCACCAGGCAGGGTATAAAAAATACAAAAAAAATAATCGTTCCTCTTTGTAAATTATTAATGAAATAAATAAAACGATTGTTCCTCTTTGCAGCTTCTGTCCGTAATGAAAGTTCCTGAAGCGTTTGCCGTTATTGACGCGCTCGTAAAAATCGTTATAAACGGCGACGCAAACATTTCACTTGCTCATGTTAGGCCGTGAGGTTGCGCGCATAATATTTCAGTAATGGTTGTTCTGATCGTAACTTTCCTTTCTGGATTTGTCGTCGATTTGGTCGTTTTTTCTCTTTTATTTTCTCTTTCTTTTCCATTAATGGTTCAATTATAATTATTTCTGTACTTATTGAATCTGATCAAGTCATACCTGATATCTTAAATATATATATATATATATATATATATATATATATATGAACTCTCTAAATAAATAATTATATATATATATATATATATATATATATATAATTATTTATTTAAAAAATATGATTCCATAAATAATTCATTTAAACAGGTTAATTAGATCAAATAAAAGCATCAAATATCCGCAAAATTTATTCAATTTAATTTCGATTTTTTACAACCTAGTTCGTCTTTTTTATATATATATAATATAAATAATAAATATATATATATATATATATATATATATATATATATATATATATTTATTATTATATATATATATATATATATATATATATATATATATATATATATATATATATATATATATATATATATATAATTATTTATTTATCCTCCGTTTTTCCTCCACCGTTGCGTAACATGTTACGTAGCTGTGGTATGAACGGCTATGACTAGTTTAGACAAGCTTTGACCAGCTTAGACAAGCTTTGACCAGCTTAGACAAGCGGCCTGAAAGGAAATACACGGGTCCGCACGTTAAAAGCCTAACTTGTGTCACAACCTGACAGAGTCGAGGGTGGGGATTAAGTTAAATTTTCAGTATACATGCTTCAAGTCACTTAAATGAAGCATGCAGATATCAGTTTCACTTAAATTACTTGACACTCATTGGAACTTTCTTTTGTGTGCCGTGTCCGTTCAGGTCGTGGATAATGATGGCTCTCCACAACTTCCTGTTTTTGTAGCTCTGAGAAAAGTCTTTTTTTGTGGGGGCGGGGGTTCTTTGCTGTTACTTGTAACCCCTGTTCTGACAACCAATTACACAACATTATTAGCTAAATAATGAACTGCTTCCCTCGGTCCCTCTTGACTATGTCCCGTGAGTGCCAAATTTTCTAAACCGTCTTTCCTCATTATGTGCCCTAGAAAGTTCAACTGCTTTTTTTTCTGGGTTAAACATTATTGTCCTTTTTGTTTCCATTTTCTCTAAAACTTCGTTCTTGCTCACATGTTCAGTCCATGACATTCTCAGCATCCTTCTGTAGAATAACATTTCTATTGCCTGAAGTATTGTCTTCCTATGTGATTAGATTATCCAGCACTCACTGAAATATAAGTGGACCAACTTTACGTAATAGTAAATTAACCTTTTTTTTATTATTTCTAATGAGAATTTCTTGTTTCTCTATTCTTTGCTTAGATTTTGGAAGGCATCTTTGGTTATCCCAGTGACCCATCGGATTTCAGTGTCGAGCTTCTTTTCTCCTTTAGAAATACTTCATAGATATTTATTTTTTTGCACTTTCAATTTTTTTTTCACTCCATGCAAGGCAATAAAGCCACACAGACACAGGGGGTTATTGAAAGAATTAGGAACAGAAAAATTAATAATGGACGGAAAGAGAAAAGAGTAACCAGGAGGAGAGCAGATAACGACTGATATTGCATTTAAATAAATTGCAGATTAAAGTTGGCTGGATAGGCTGTAGCCGGGTGGGGTTGTATGAGTGGGAAGTGTGCGAAAAAAAAAACTGTTAGCATATAATGTACGGCTATATCTTGCCAGATCAACTATAAGTTGATAAGATCTCGACTCAAGTTTAGTCTAGTCTTTCTTTTTTTTATGTCCTATGTCTTGCCAGGACGTAGGCAATCATGGCTCGCTGATTCCTCTCTCTATCCCTTGCAGTGACAATTACATCTAGCAAGCTCATCTGTCATGTGACGAGATCTTGACGCCAGTCGAGTAATTTTTTTTTTTAAGCATTACGCCCCGAGCAAGGCGGGAAGACACTAGGATGCAGTGGTTGCAGAAGATTTGGAGCAAGAGCAGATAGGAGTGATAGAAGAAAGGATGAGGAAAGGGATAGTGGATAGATCAAGGTAACTGGAGATGTCGATTTACATTACATTTGAATAGTTGGAGATTATAGCTCTCAGGGAAACTGTAATTGGGAAGGGTGTTCCACAGGCGAGAGGTGCGAGGTATGAAGCTATTGGAGTAGAAGAGACGGCTATATTTAAAAGTTTCTACAGTGTAAGGGTGGGAGCGGGATGCCAGCCTCGTAGGGCGCTTGAATTCATGGAGTCTGGGAACCAGTGAAAGCAGCTCATAGGAGCAATTACCATGAAAGTATTTGTAGAAAAGACAGAGAGATGCGACGGCGCGTCTGTGAGAGAGTGACTGTAGACGAGATGCCAGATCAGGGCCAATTATATTACATATCCGTCTCTGGATCTTGTCAAGAACTCCGAGGTAAACAGAAGGTGCCCTAGACCATATATGGCAGCAATACTCCATGCAAGGGCGAATGGTTGATTTGTATATTTGAAGTATCGATTCCGGGGAGAAAAATTTCCTGGCGCGGCACAGAGAGCCAAATTGCGCTTAAATTCAAAAAGTCCATAGGGAATAGCTCATCTGAACAATTACAAGTCCTCGGCCTTCTTCAGAGCATATGAGAAGGGGTATTCCCACTGCATGTACTGTTTATTCGTCTCTGGCTCAAAGTTATGAAGCCAATACTCATCCTGGTCAGGAAGCGTTCAAGGAAACCAGTTTGTTCTGCCTCAATCAATGTCATATTTTTTCATGTGCTGTGATCAGACCGGTGTGCTTTTAATCAGGTGTCAAAAGTCGTGGCGCCCACTTAACAGAAACCTTCGTCATGTGAAGGTCATCGTGCAGAATATTCTCAATACTTTCATGAGATATGCTAATCGCATTGGCTATTTGATTTACAGCCAATCGCCTATCATCTGTCACCATGTTCTGAACTCGATTAATGTTTTCCTTGGTGGTGGCAGTTGCAGGACGTCCAGAGCTTTTTTCATATCCAAAACTCTACCTTCCCCGGTTTAGTTCAGCTATTTCTGAAAGAATTGAGAAACATTTACATTACAAGGGTCCGCTGAAAAGTTCGTAGGTTGACCAAGCTAATCTCATGGATTGCAACGTTATAACGATATGGGATATATTTTTAAACATAATTCCCCTTGTGGTCCACAACCTTCTTCCATCGGTGTTTCAATCCCATTTGTTAAAAAAGCCCCTAATAAAAAACAACATATAAATAAAGCTGAAGCGTCATCTCCTAATGAAGCAACTATGCCATCAGAATGTCCTTTGGAGCTGATTCCTTTTTTACTTCATGTAGTTGATAATAGCAATAGTAAAATGTGTCATTTCGCTGATTGATGCTATATATGAGACTAGCAGTAGAGCCCGGCATTACCCGGGAATGTAACAGTAAGAGATAGATCAAGTATCGACCATCATAAAGACTGAAAAATAAAATTGACAAAGATTATTGTTTAAGGTTGACGGACACGCATGTCTTAATTAGTTTTTTTTTGTTTTGTTTTTTTTTTTGTTTTGTTTTTTTACGAATTGGTCAAACCCAAACTCAAACAAAAACATTGTTTTCAATCGTTATGAGGTTACCGATTGAAGAGAATTTTATTATAAACAATTGTTTTGTAAATGGAATTTTTAAAGCATTCTGAATGTAAAAATAAAGAAAAAAGTGTGCAAGAAAGACTATCTGCCAAAAAAAGTGAAGTTTTGTTGAAATCGGTTGAAAAATGTAGGAAATCCGATCCCATATATAAATGAACAAACACACACATAAACAACCTGGGTTTTATAAGTATAATTCGATATGAGTTGTCCCCCTTTCATTCTGCCGACAGAATCGTGTTTTAAAATTGATTTCGTGCAAAAACAATTGTATTTTTCTAATTTTTGGCCCTGTCAGAACCACCGCACGGTAATTTTACGCAGTCCTGTGAAGTTTTGTTGAAATCGGTTGAAAAATGTAGGAAATCCGATCCAATATATAAACGTACACACACACACACACACGCACACACACAATCTGCGTTTTATAATAAGTAAGATGATGAAACAATTTCTGATACCTTCCAACGATTAGGCCAGCAATTACCCAAACGTTTTATATTTTATATTAATTCCATATATATATATATATATATATATATATATATATATATATATAAATTGGAGATAAGTCAATCACGCTACCTTGGTTTCAATCTTTCGGTATTCTCAGAAGGTCTGTGACAAATGATTTCCTAACGCTTTATCATTTATATATAAACACATAACGTGAAGTGTTATAGAAGGGGAGGAGAAAAGTAAGATTTATTTTTAAAAAAATAGTTCCCCTTGCGGTCAACAAGCTTCATCCATCGGTGTTACAATACTTGTATCTCATTGGTTAAGTAGCTTTAAATAAAAAAAATAACGATATAAAACAAAGCTAAAGCATCATTCTCAAATGTAGCAAGTATATCATCAGAATATCATTTGACGTTGAATAATTTTTTTTACTTCAGTTACTTGATAATAGAAAGATGCGAAATTTTTCCCATTTACAAAAAACAAGTCTTGACGTCTTCCTTGAACAGTCCGAGATCAGTTATTTCGGGGAGAAACAATGTTATTAATATGAAAAGAGTTGAAATTAAGATTAAATTCAAGATTTCACATCTCTAGAACCATTCAATCATAGTATGCCTATGAAACGTTGAGAGAAACTCGTACCAGCGTAGTGAGTTTTTATACGAACCTTGTTGCTGGCTATTGTACCCAAGTGGAACGAATTGTAGCGTTGTTTGAAGCCAACGAATGTCAATCTATCTTGATTTCTAGCATCGAGTGAACTGGAAGACTTTTGAAGTGAACATTTTTATTCGACACAGTAGGTGATGCAAAATCCCGTGTGCTTTTCCCCTTTGCCATGCGTAAAACCCTGTTAATTCTCTTTTCTTTCATTCCTAAGGATTTCTAGCAAACCAATAAAAAAAAAGAAACTAAAATTTCACACAAAGACTGATGAAAAAAAATAGAGAAAGAAAAACTTAAATTCAATGAATCACTTGCACAAAACCAACATTATTTTCATTCTCCGAGGTCTAAATTAAATTTTTGATGAATTAGGATTTCATTGATGTCGATTGAAAGCATCAGAAAGGAAAATGATAAAATAAGGAATGGTGTGATACCTGAAGAATATTCTGCCTTTCAGTCTCTTCTTTTAACTTCTTTTTTTCTGACGGTTTTTTTATGGCATATTTTTTCCTTTAATATTTACCAAGTTTAGTTTTAGGTAGTGTTACGTCAGTTTTCTTATTAAAGAGAGTTTCCATGGATTTTAGATCAATATTTGGGACCCAACACTCGAACACTGATCACTGCCGACGATGAAGAATACTAATTTATCAAATCCAACTAGTAGATCTGAATGCCTCAAGTTTATTTTTCAAATCGTTTCACGCCAAGCAAGGCGGGAATGTCACTAGCATACCTAGGGTTACAGAGAAAGTCAGAGAAAAATCTCGTTATAGGAGAGATTGAGGATGGCGATAAACGTTGCCTTTAAATCTTTGATGATTGCAGCTATTAAGGAAACAAGGAAAATGGATGGTGTTCCACAGGCTGGAATTGCGAGAAAAAACTACTTGAGTGGTAGTTAAATTCAACTATTTCAACAGTAAAATGGTGGGACTTACATACCATACGCTTAAATCCATGTAGTCGGTCACCATGTAAAAAAAATTACGTTAGATTAGTTGACATGAAAATATTTATAGAAATGACAGAGGGAAGAGAAATTGACTGAAGTCGAGATGCCAGATCAGGATCGATTATATTGCGGACCCTTCTTTGGATTTTTCCAATAACCTCGAGATGAATAGCAGGAACACCAGACCAGATATGGCAACAGTTTCCAATGCACGGACAAATGGTAAATTTGGGGAGGCAGTGTAATCGTCTACTATCATCGACACATAATTTCTTGCTGAGATTATTTTTGGTTACTTAAATGTGGCTCTAAAGATGGATGCTGCATATACCATGACCGAACGTGTGAGCATCGACGAAGATTTAGAGAAAATGGAAACAAAAAAACACACTTATACTTTGACATTTCACTGGCACATAATGAGGAAAGAGTGCTCGGAAATTTTGATACTCACATGTCAGATTAAAGACAACAGGAACAGAGGAAATCAACGAATATCAAACTTAGTGTGCGTGTGTAGTGAAGCAGTGTTTAGGAGTAAAAACAGAAAGGTATCATTTACTAAGAGCTACAGGAAGATGTGAAGAGCCATCGTCGCCTTCGTACGACGTGAGAGCCACAGCACATAAAAATACACGTCTATAACATGTAATAAGCAGAGAATTCACTAATAATTGTCTGTGAGCTTAACTTATTAACCAATGCAATATGGCGACATGGCCTTATTATTACTGTAAACGTTTTATGACATGATGGCAGATGAAGTGAAATATGGCTACACTAAAGACACAAGGAAAATTCTTTCTTTTATTTTTTTAGATATCGCTATTTTCTTTCTTTTTTCCTCCATTCATTTCTGCATAGTTGATGGGTTTTCTTTTTTTTCCTCTTCTGTACTTATCACTTTCTTTCTTTCTTTTTTCTTTCTTTCTTTTTCTCTTTTGCTCCTCATGTAGCTTATTTTATGTTCTTTTTGTCTTATTTCTTTTCTTGAAGCACAAGATATTATTCCTTTGGTTCTTTCTTTCTTTCTTTCTTTTATCTTTCTTTCTTTCTGTTTGTCTTCCTTTTCTCATTCTCATTGCATTTTCTTACTTACATTCTTTTTCTTTCTTTCTTCATGTTTGCTTTCTTTTTCTGATGTCCTGGATCTTTCTTTTTTTTTTCTTTCTGTCTTTCTATCTTTCTTTCTTTTTCTCTTTCGTTCATCATCATTTAGCTCATTTTATTTTCTTTGTTTTATTTCTCTTCTTGAAGCACACGGTATTTTCTTTCTTTCTTTCGTGATTCTTTCTTACTTTCTTTCGTTCTTTCTTTCTGTTTGCTTTCTTTTTCTCATTCCCTTTGTTTTTTCTCACATTATTTTTTTTTCTTTCTTCATGTTTCCTTTCTTTTCTGATACCTAAGCTCTTTCTTCTTTTTTTTCATTCTTTCTTCATTTATCTATTTTTTTTCCCCCTCATTTCTTAGTCCTTTCTTTCTTCGGTTTGCTTTCTTTTCCTCGTTCTTTCTTTCTCTCTTTTTCTCATCCTTTCGTTCTTTCTTTCTTTCTGTTTGATTTCCTTCTTTTTATATCTCAACTCTTTCTTTCTGCTTTCTCTCACCCTCTCTTTCTATCTTCCCTTCTTTCTTTCTAGCTCCTTTTCTTTCTTCTTATCATGTAGGTCCTTGTATATTCTTTCTTTCTTACTTAGATTATTTCTTTCTTTTTACATTTATTTCTTCCTTTCTTTTCTTCCTTTTTCTTTACTTCTTTCTTCTCTTTACGTAAGTGTTATACTTTCTTTTATGTAATTGCAGAATTCCTTCTTTCTTTCTTTCTTTCTTTCTTTTTATTACATAGAATTTTTACTTTTTTACATAAATACGGAACTATTTCTTTGTTTCTTTCTTTCTTTCTTTCTTCATTCTCATAACATACAAAATGTACTTTCTTTTTTTCTAATTGCCGAGCTATATATTCTTTCCTTTTCACTTTAATTTATTCAATTTTCTTTCTTTCTTTCTTTCTTTCTTTCTTTCTTTCTTTCTTTCTATCTCCTTTTCTTTCTTCTTATCATGTAGGTCCTTGTATATTCTTTCTTTCTTACTTAGATTATTTTTATTCTTTTTACATTTCTTTCTTCCTTTCTTTTCTTTTTTTTTCTTTACTTCTTTCTTCTCTTTACGTAAATGTTATACTTTCTTTTATGTAATTGCAGAATTCCTTCCTTCTTTCTTTCTTTCTTTCTTTTTATTACATAGAATTTTTACTTTTTTACATAAATACGGAACTATTACTTTCTTTCTTTCTTTCTTTCTTTCTTTCTTTCTTTCTTTCTTTCTTTCTTCATTCTCATAACATACAAAATGTACTTTCTTTTTTTCTAATTGCCGAGCTATATATTCTTTCCTTTTCACTTTAATTTATTCAATTTTTCTTTCTTTCTTTCTTTCTTTCTTTCTTTCTTTCTTTCTTTCTTTCTTTCTTATTATATATCTGTTACTTATTTCCTTCCTATTTTTCTTATTCCGGGTTTTTATAATTCCCTTCTCCTCTTTTTAGTACTTTTCTCTCGCGCTTCTCACTTCCCCCTTTCGCTCTCTCTCTTTCTCTCTACCTCTCTCTTTCTTTTTTTCTTTCTTTCTTATTTCCACATCATATTTATCTTTCTCCTTTTATCTTCTTCTCATTATTTAATGAACCAAGTTAATTACATCCCCAAGCAATTCATTAGACAGACCTTAGAGTAAAAGTTTCACCGCGCGGGTCAAGTTGACACCCTAATGCTTGTAGTATTGTTCTCACTATCATTAACTGCCAATTTAAAATTAATTCCTACTAGTAATTATACAGACTTTCTCACTGATATTCTATGCAAAAAGACACGCCTACACTCGGTATTATTCACTTACTTAACCAGGCAAATTCGCTTAGCAAATGCGAATTGATAATAGTTACAACCACAGTAACCAATTATTAACACATTTATTTACGATTTAAAAAAAAAAGCGTAAGTTTATAAGATATTTCAATTGAAACATTTTATTCGGAGAAATGGGTTTCTCAATTCAAGTAAATATAATCGCTCTTTCTAGTATTTATTTTGGTTGCATTCTTAAACGTTTGTTTGAAGTAACGTCGAAAGGCTTCCTGATATATGTTTACTGCCTCTAACTCTTTTTTGATGCTTCCTACTCTATACATTTTAGCTGTTGCAGCAGTTGAATATTCAAAATGGATACCGTTTCTTTTAGTTAGTCGTTTGCTATTCTTGCAGTGCCAGTGCGCAAGGTCTGAAAAGTATGGTCCTCACAAAGTCTTACAATCTTATTTTGCTTGAAGTCATTCACAACCAGTGATTTGAGAATTAATCGAATGTTATTAGCTTGTTGGCGTATGTTATTAGCTTCTTGGCGTATTTAAAGGCTTACAATCGAAAAGAGTTTGGTTTTCATTTTACTGGTGTGGTTTTTTTTGTTTGAATATATATATATATATATATATATATATATATATATATATATATATATATATATATTCACTGTAATCCTTTATTGGGGACTTAAATTGTTTTTTTTTTTACAGCAAGGTAGAGGGTTACATTTCGAGGCAATTTGTGTGTATACGAGTGAAAGATAACGGTTATTCCTAGTTTTGGATAGGTAAAGATTGTAGTGATCGAGGAAACATCTTGTTGGGCCACAGAGCTACAATTCACGGAAGAACCTTTTAAGGAGGAATTTATTTCTCAGCGATGAATCACGGAGGGAATGTGGGTGGTTTGCTACTAAGTAAAAGGCTTGCCGTGTCCTTGCCGTTAAGTTTTGACTTAGCCGGACCAGGGAATGTAGTTCGTCTGAGAACCTTCAGTAGAAGTAGCGATATTTTTATAAGAGTAACAAAAATACACTTCCCTGGCATAAGACCCAATTGAAATAAAAACTTAGTTTCCGATTCGGAAATATCTTTTAAACGGTGTTCCAATAACTTAGACCGATTTTAAATGTGAATTAAGTTTAAGCGTCTAATGATTTTTTTTTCAGATTTAACAACTTAAGTCTTTGGTAATTTCAAACTTGGAAAGTTTAACAATCAAACAGCATGTTAATGTTATCGATTTAACATTCAGGCCGGCAAACGAAATTATATATACCGTTTAATAAATAAACGGAGTTTCTTCTCAGATACGAGTATCCACTAAAAATAGTGTGTGTATTTAGGCAGCATTTTTTCATTAATGCATCATTCATTAAATAATACAGACAATTTTTTTTTTATTTTAAGTAAATTCCTTTCATATTGTCGAATAAGCTTTTTAAAATTATCACTGAAACACAAAAGAAAATCACCATGTTGATACATGTTTTTATTTTTAATCCTGTCTAAGCCTTCGGCTTACATAAGCCATCATCAGAGATTACAAGTACCTTGCAATAAATTAATGGAATTTCATTCAAATAGACAGTTAATCGAAAGCGATTGTGGTGTGACCAACATGCTAATATTATTAATACTACTAACAAAATTCCCTTCCTAGACATATTAATAAACACAAATAATAATAAATTTACTATTTCGCCAAATAGAAAACCTACCAGCATTAATTCATGTACACTTAACTACAAGAGCAAATATCCATATTACTACAAAATAGCAATTATAAAAAAATCTAATACATCGTGCAAAAACTAATTCATCCTCACAACAGTTTTTTACAGTGAACTAAAGAATATAAAGCAAACACTTATTTAATAATATATTCAACTCAATTATTCGCAATGATTCTTCCCCGTCTGTAAGACATTTGCAGAAAACCAACATAGTTTACAAATTCAAATGCCCTCTGAGAGATTGTATCTCTAACGGAATAAATAATATTTATGTTGGTCCCACCACAAACTTGATTTCACGATGCTTAACTCTCCATTTGAATGACAATTCCAAAATTTTGATGTATTTAAAACAACATACCTGACACATACCCAATTCTGGAAAATCCTTGTTCAAAATACAACTATACATAACAATGAAAACAATAAACAAAAACTAAAAATTATTGAAGCTATTTACATAAAACAGTTAAAACAACCTGAGCAAATAAACTATGAAAACTCCACAAATATACTTAAATGCTTATAGTTGATAACAGGAGCTATTGGTTTATACCAACGGCTTTCTATACTTAAAATTTTCTTCATTTTTACTCTCACGTGTTCATGTGTGATGTCATGAAACACAATGCGATATTTTCTTCCTGCGTTTCATATGCACGAATTTTAAAGTTGCATATCTTCCATATAAACAAAAGTATCACTGTTACAATATCCGCATAGCCATTCTAAAATCAAAATTACCATCTTTGTTATTGAATCTATTATTTAATTTATTATAATGTACTTTTAATCTCTGATGACGACATATGTAAGCCGAATGCTTAGACAGGATTAACAATAGAAACATGTATCAATGTGGTGATATTCTTTCGTGTTTCAGTTATAATGCTAAAAAGCTTATTCGACGATATGAAAGGAATTTACTTACAATAAATAGTCAAAACTTGTCTCTCTGTCTCTGTCTCTGTCTCTCCCCATATATATATATGTGTGTGTGTGTGTGTGCGTGCGCGCGCGTGTGTGTGTTTATATATACCTATATATATACTGATATGCTAAAAGTAATGAGATAATGACATGCAAAAATTATGTTAGGCGTTAACGACGTATATAGTCATCATGGGAGTCCCCATACTTATACCGATTTTTGTCTGTCATCTGGTGAGTTAGTGCAAAACGTTAACTCGTTTGCTCATGCAAAGGATAATGGATTATCCCAGTTAGAAACGGTTATGCCATTCAACGCTAGGATAATCCATTTCTGAAATTGTGTACTGGTATCACTTGACATACAGTGCCATAAGTGTACTACAGCAGTGACATACCAGGAATAACTAAGAGAAGCCGTTACTATCCACTGGAGATCACAAAGTGCCAGGCACCAGGTTCTGACTCATCATTACCAGGTCTGAAGCTTGCTAAAACTATGGAAAATAAAAAATAATCGTTACTGACTTAAATCACTTCCACATTCAATGCAGAACCCTCAAAATGAATATAGAGTATGTCAGTTCGACATACTTTAGCTTCTCTGGAACATAAGATACTTCTGTTAAAGAAAGACCCCAGCCCAAAAAAAAGTACCAAGATGATTCGTTATTATTATCGGTCCTGACCCTATCATTACATTCACTTACATGTGACAACAGGTGTCATGATCGACCCGACTCCGCCCACCACTCCACCAGCCTGGATGAGAGATCTCAGCACGCCAAACTTCAGTTGGTGTCAAGCGCTCGTACTGGGTAGACGTGAGTGTGCTCTCCACTGATTACTTTTTCTTTCCGTAATGTGTGTGGCTTTAGACAGTGAAAATGTAAAAAAGAATTGTAGATAACAGTGAGAAAAAGAAAAAGAAGCATATCTTCTTAGCAATAACACAAAAAGTAGAGCTTTTGCAGAAGCTTGATCGCGGTGTTCCTGTGCAGCGTCTGACTGATGAATATGGTGTCGGTACAACGAATGTGTATAATTTAAAGAAACAGAAAGACTAGTTACTTAAATCTTATAGTAAAAGTGATGGCCATAAATTAATGAACAATAGGAAAACACTACATACGGCAAAATAAGCTAAAATACCTACTGTCTGTAATTTTTCTTTGCCCCACCCTTTTGAAACTATCGTACGCTACTGTCGGGTAAATGACAGTATTGAACGACAGGGAGGAAGGCGAGGTAAGCATATTTAATGAACGATGGAGAGATATGAGAGCGCAACATATATTTTTAGTTTATCGTTTGATGTTATTCATTTTTAAATTATACAAGGCATTTTTTTTTGTCTGAAATAAATTTAATCATTAAGTATGGTCTTAATTATCCATCTATTTTATTAATCAATATATTACGCTATAAATAAACTGTAATAATAAAGATATCCGCAAAAATTTGACATCATTTTAAAGGCAATTATCTTGAAAACTATTTAGTCTAGCTCAATGAAATTGAACAGTTATGGTATTGAACATCATGAGTTTATTATGGGACCGATTTTATAAGTGTTCATTAGGTGCACCGCCTGTGACACGACACACGTTAAGTCGGTAAAGCTCTTGCTAAACACGCAGTAGCATGTCTCCGGTAACATTATCCATTGCGGAAGTGATTCTCTGCTCGATTTCATCAATGCTAGCAGAAAGAGTGGGGATATAGATCAGTCTCTTCACACCTCGGTTCATGGCTTATTGAGTGAGTGGCAATGTGAGGAATGATCTGATTGGTCACGGTTTCCTTTATTTCCGGTCGATTCTAAGGTCAGAGTGTAACGTAAACGCCTGAGGCCAAAAAACCCCAGTTGTCAATAAGATACTTTGAAGGTTTATATGTTCATAATTATGCGAGTTTTGTTCATGTGACACTGTTTGAATCTATTAATCAACTATTATGATTGATGTAAGCCTGTATATGGCCACTCGATGAAAAGTGTAAGTGGTACAGTTTACCGGGACATGTAGGCATGACTTATATTGAACAGGTTAAGACTGTAGTGCTCAGGTTTATATGTTCATAATGATGTTGGGCATATGTTCATGTGACATAAAAAGAAATCACACGGGGACATGTCCGGAGACTGCAGCAGCCATTTCATTTGAAAACTGTCTTCATCTCCACCACACCTGGTTTATCTCTCTGGAAGATTCTCATTGAGATAAGCACACAGTGTTCTCTTCCATTAACTATAAAATCTTGATCTGTTTCTATAGATTCTGTGAAAATATGATGTTATTTCAATAAGAATTGCCAAAATTATTGGCCTGTGAAATGATGACAAATTTTGTGGGAACACTCTGTATTTATCGTCTTTTTTTTTGTTGTTGTGTGCAAAATGATTTCTTTATGTTGGAATATTGTTTGAATTTCTGAAAACCGAAAAAATCGGAAAATATAAGCATAACTACCCCAAGAATTTCGAGTATGGAATTGTGTATCTGTACTAAGCGAGAGATTAGGAATGTCTTTGAATTTATATTAATTGTGCATGAATGTATTTAATATTGTTCATCTTGGATTTATCTGTTTCTTACTGGCTTTAATCACTTCCACATTCAATGCAGAACCCTCAAAATAAATATAGTGTATGTCAGTTCGACATACTTTAGATTCTCTGGAACAGAAGATACTTCTGTTTACGAAGACCCCTGCCTCCACCCCAAAAAATGTGCCAAGATGATTCGTTAATATTATCTGTCACGGTGCACGTAATAGACACTTATGAAATCGGTCCCATAATAAACTCATTGCTTATTTATTGACTATTAAAGTTGCTTTTCATCAATCTTATCGTAAAGACTCGAACTATCAAATCATTATACCCGGCACGAATATCGTAGGGAAATAATTTGGAAATCGCTTTCTGTTTTCTCCCCTACACGTCCTACTTCCTTGACCTCGATTATCTTTTTGTCGATCACCGCAAAATGCTTTAATGAGGAAGAAAACATTTTCTCTAATGAAAAATAGATTCCAGTGTTCGTCGTGTCATTTTTAACTCCAAAACCTGCGGAATTTTACGCGAAATATATTGAATAACTGCATGACAAATCATTGTAAATAATGGCGGATATTATTATTGAATACTATGTAATTGCACTTCATATTCGGTACAATAAAATTCGAGAAACGAAAACGAAAATTTTTTTGACTCAACCTGGTATTATCGTTCTTCCACCTGTTAATGCATACCATCCTCTGGGCATTAATGGAGTGCAGATTGATACGTATAATTAAAGCCTTTTTTTTTTCTTTCTTTTTTTACAAACCGCATTTTTCGAAACATATAATTAATTCCTGGATATGTTAGCAACCAACGATTTATAGTGAGTCTTATTTTATTTTTATGATAACGGAATTACAGTAGGTATTAATCGGTTAATCGCTTGATTCGATGCCGTGTGAATATGGCTAAAAAAAAACAAAAAAAACAAAAACAAAGCTATATAGTTGGTATTTTGGGAGATAAAATCTTGGT